ATGTGGCGATTCGAGCGATCAACTCTGCATAGAGGAGATTCTGCCAAGGTCTGCTTTTCTTTGGGCACTTGCTTAAGGGTAGATTCAGGCTTAGTTAATTAAGAACGATGTTTGAGTGAGCTCGTGATATGGACGTTATTCTCCATGGACTTATAGTTTAACTTGGGGATTGGTCTGTCTTGTGCTACAGGTCCTCTTGATCATTTGATTCAGGATTTGGGCTAGATTCAGCTTGATCCTACAAGGATCATCATCTGTTATCACTTATAACAGGTCGGTTGCCGATTCGTCAGTCTACGACTCAACTCCAATCCATTCTCAATACTCGACCTAAAAGGCTTTAGCCCTGGTGATTTATATTGTTTTGTTAAGGTTTTCACCCAGACTTTATTGAATGGCCATTTAACGAAGGTGCTAAGTATTTATTTCTGGAAGGTTGGGCAAAGGTTGGGGTTTGCATGGCTAAAGCGAGGGGTATGAGTATGGAGAGTGGTTGAAGTTGACCCCGTGTAGTGCGTGGAACCTGGTTGATTCTTTGACGTGATTGCAGGTATGTTTTGTGATTCGGACTTTGGATTTGACTGCCTGCGATCACAAGCATATATATGGCTGAGAGGAGTCCCACATTCATTGTGAGAAGTGATCGTCACATATTTATTCCCATATATATATATATACATACATACATACCTAGTTTTGGGTGCTCCCGTGGCCTAAGGAGCCCACGCCTAAGGGTTTAATTGGGGTCAAGGTTGAGAAAGGAAGGGAAATCCCTCCTTTACTGTTGTTTGCTTCTTGAAAATTTCTTAGTCGGACATCCCAACCCTAGACTCTACGTGGAAGGGATCACCCCCCCCGGAGAGCCTACTTGCCCTGCCCACTAGGACACTCAGCCTAAGGGCCGAAGGTGCCGCGGGGGCCGAACGACTATTCCTTCAGCCATGCAATATCGTGTAGGGCTGGACCCTCACGATACTTCGAGTTTGACACTTGAGTGTCATAAGCGGTACTCGGATCCACGAGGGACCGCTTGATTATGGGCACTACATAGTACGCCATCATTGCGACTGCTTGTGTATTCATGCATTGCTAGTCTATATAGGAAGGTCGTGCGTCCGCGGGGTTTTATACTAAGTCTCGCACGTGTCGCCTATCCGATTTCCGCATCGGAAAGTTATGGGATGGATACAAAAAAGGGACTACGAGTGTTGTCACGTTGTTTGTTCTGTGTCGTTCTGTGTGTGTGAGTGTTGTGGTGTGACGCGTGGTATGTAGGATGCGTCCTAGTCGACCGACGACGGGCCGCGCTTGGGACTTCGGGCCCCCCAGTCTGTCTCTTATACACATCTAGATGTGTATAAGAGACAGGTATGTAGGATGCGTCCTAGTCGACCGACGACGGGCCGCGCTTGGGACTTCGGGCCCCCCAGTGCGTCGGTTCACGTGCGGGTTCGATAGAGGCGTAAAACCGCGCGTGGCCCCTATGCTACAGCGAATGAGAAACGCCCTCGGCTGGTCCACCTCTGCGATTGCAACGACTTAGCTTTCGTACTGTGGACTGGTAGCTCGACGGGGATATGCCCACCGAAGGGAGGGGACAACTCCCGTAAGGTGGAGGTAACTCGTGCCTCGCGTTGGCCCTATCCTGTCGTAGGGGCTCGCGAGAGGTATGGCTGGCGCACTCGGCCGGAGCGGCTTGCGGAGGCTCCATGTGTATTCGCGACGAGGATGAGACCAACTCCTGCGTAACGCGTGGTATGTAGGATGCGTCCTAGTCGACCGACGACGGGCCACACTTGGGACTTCAGCCCCCCCAATGCGTCGGTTCGCGTGCGGGTTCGATAGAGGCGTAAAACCGCGCGTGCCCCCTATGCTACAGTGAACGAGAAAAAACGCCCTCGGCTGGTCCACCTCTGCGATTGCAATGACCTAGCTTTCGTACTGTGGACTGGTAGCTCGACGGGGATACGCCCACCGAACTGTGGACTGGTAGTTCGACGGGGATACGCCCACCGAAGGGAGGGGACAACTCCCGTAAGGTGGAGGTAACTCGTGCCTCGCGTTGGCCCTATCCTGTCGTAGGGGCTCATGAGAGGTATGGCCGGCGCACTCGACCGGAGCGGCTTGCGGAAGCTCCATGTGTATTCGCGACGAGGATGGGACCAACTCCTGCGTGACGCGGTCGAGAGGGCCCCGCTCTGCGCGGTGCGGGACCGATGCGCTCGACAACGGAAGGGGAGGGGTGGAAGAAAGAGAGGTGGGAGAAGCCCTAAGCCCTAACGAAAGGAGGTTAGGGTGAGGAAGTGGGCACGTAATCAAGGAAGAAAAATTATGGAGGGGGGTGAGTGGGGGAGGTGAGCAGGGAGAAAACCCAGCTCCGATACGATGCTGCCAGGATGGTAGATCCCATATCCATGGAGAAGAAGGGACGAGGATGAAGGTGGAGGTGGAGATGGAGATGGAGATGGAGATGGAGATGAAGGGGAGAGAGACAGCAACGCCAAAGACTCAACACCGCTGGTACTGGAAAACTGCAAGATGAAGAACGAACCAGAACACAGACAGCAGATGCGGTATACCCCCAACGGGCTGACTGAACTGGACTGGTACCGACAGCGGTGCCGGACTGAATGAACACTCGGCCTGTCGAGTGAGATCAGGCCGACAACCTGGTCCCACAGGCCGAACAAGCTTAACGCCAAATAGCCCCAGTTATAGGCCGGGGTATATAGAGTCCCGCTGCAAGTGGGGTAACCATTAAAATTGTTGCATCCATCAGGATCACTTTACATATTTGCAAACAGTCGCAACTCAAAGACAAGTAAAATGGGATATACATGTGAGAAAGAATTAGGAGAGAAGAAACAAAAGCAGCAGAAGCAGCACAAAAGAAACAGAAGCAGCAGCAGCAGCAGCAGCAGCAGAAGAAGAAGAAGAAGAAGAAGAAGAGGAGGAAGACGACGAAGAGGTAGACGGCGAAGAGGAAGAGGAAAAGGAAGAAGAAGAGGAAGAGGAAGAGGAAGAGGAAGAAGAAGAAGACGAAGAGGAGGAAGAAGAGGACGGCGAAGAGGAGGAAGAAGAAGAGGAGGAAGAGGAGGAAGAGGAGGAAGAGGAGGAAGAAGAGGACGATGACGAGGAGGAAGAAGAGGAGGAGGAAGAGGAGGAAGAGGAAGAGGAAGAAGAAGAAGAGGAAGAGGAAGAGGAGGAAGAGGAGGAGGAGGAGGAAGAAGAAGAAGAAGAAGAAGAAGAAGAAGAAGAAGAAGAAGAAGAAGAAGAAAAAGAAGAAGAAGAAGAAGAAGCGCACTATGTCATCTCCCTTCCATAATCATCCATTAATGCTCTCTTCCTCTTATTAATCAACATATATATACAAAGCAATGGATGAATGAGCAATAAGTCAATGTCCAAAGAATATTCAACCACTGCCTTGAAGAAAAAAATCCCCTGCAGCTCTCCTATGGCTCTCCTGAGTCTCCTCTCTTTCTCTTGGATCAACTAGCTATGGCAGATCATCCCAGCTACATGCAGGATGTCCAGAGGACAATGCACTACTACTACTACTAATCTCTCCCTCTTCCCAACATATCTCCCTCATGGATGAAGTCTCTGTACAGCGGGTGTCCTACCAAGGCCTACTTAATGCAGCCCCAATCAATGAAGCGAAGCCGCCTTCTTCAATCAATCAATGAGGTGAAGATGGAAGTTTTCATGTCGATTCCCTCCTCCCTTCTCTTCCCCGACTCAAGTCTCCTTTTTCTTTTTTTCCCCAAAAAAAGGCAACAGCCCTGAGATAGCATTGTCAAACTGACGGGCCTCTGGTAATTCATGATTACGTTCATCTAGCTCTGACTGGACTCAAGCAGGTCTGTATTTCAACAGTTCGTTGGTGTATCAACTGAACTAGGCCCATTGTCTCCTTCTCAAGTGTTCTACTTGCCTCCATAGTCCATTCTGCTTCCACTCCTTCTGCCATAGCCTACCTCATCCTCTACTTCTTCCTCCTACATCTCCATACTAGTCCATAGCCATGGAGGTCGTCCCCTTCCCCCTCAAGCTCCACCTCCTCCTTCCAACGAGCTTGGTTCTTCACCCTCACAGCGAAGTGACCGCACGACTGCAGGGAGAAGTGTGTGAAGGAACCACCGCCCAGGTAGTGGAAAGTATGTATATACCCCGTGTACACATCGGTGCAGACGCCAAAAGCTCTGCTGCCAGCCTTTATTGGAACTGCCCGGGCAGTTCCTAGGACTACCCCTGAGACCTACTGTACCTAGCTCTACACCCGTCCAGATTCAGTGTGGCTACCTCATGACACCACTCGAACATCCTACCAGATGGAGGACCTACAGGAATCCTCGGAAAATCCCTTGCCAAGTTTCTGATCTACACCAGCTGTCCTACGATTTTGGGACAAATGCTCCAATTTATTAGTGGGGAGCAGGACGTGCTTGGAACCGGGCCCAGCATCCCAAATTAAATTTTGCAAAACATCTGAAATGCCCAGGCCATTACCCAGCTTTGTCTGAGAACAGTTAAGAAAATTCAATAAAATTTAGAAAAAATCATGAATGGGGATAAGCTTAGAAAAGCGATGAGAAAAACCACAGATCTAGTTCTACAGGGGTTTTCAGCCCAAAACCAATGACCCTGGCACTGTTAAGCAGCCCAACCCTGAGCCTGCCCCAACCCCCACATCCTCGATACCTAGTCTCTACCAGGCCTCACGCCCTGAACTGCTGGGTTACAGAGTCGTGCGACCCACCCCAGAACAATCCCCCACCAGTCTTGTCCCGATAACTGCACCAACTGCTGTTCTACCCTTCCAGAAATGCAGAAACACAGCACAGAAACGTAGTTACCACACGAACTCAGGACTCATCATTCAGGCATACAACCATATCTAGATGACAGAGAGACACTTGGACAAAGAAATCTCAGCAAAATGGATCACAACACAGCAGCTTTCTCAGAAAAATGCACCATTCTTATCCCGTACTCACCGATCAAACATATTGAAAACCTCTGGTGCAGGCTGCAGAAGGGAGAGAAGCATGGTATAATCGCGTACTCTTGCCATTGTTCGAAGAGCATGCACAATGTCGTATGTGGCTGAACTATCAAGCCCAGTGCTGATCTCATCAAGAAAGAGAACACTATTCGTTCCTGTACGGCAATGTCAGCATCCAACAGAACCCCCTTGTTAGTGTTTTTCCCCTCCTCCCCCATGGTTTCAGGGCATATAGAAAGTACTAAAAGCAAAAGCCTATCAGCAGTGCCGGAAAATGATCAGAGTACATCACCACACATGCCTGACTTCAGCAACCTTTTCAAACTACAGTATTCGTGTACAACATTTTGTGTACAACATCCCCATAGGCCCCTAATCAGGGCTGGTCCCCGGATGGACTGGGGCCCTCCGACGACAGGGTCCCTGTCGATCGGACTGGGCGGTAGACCGGCCCAGCAGGCACCCGGTCGACGCCAGCGCATTTCGCTGGGGGCCACGTACCGGGGGTTTTCGGGTTCCCCACCGCCTGCCCGGCCTCTGAGAGGCCCCACCACACTGTGAAAAAAAAGACGGGGCTGTTGGGCCCCCCTCACTTTCGTGAAACGCGGTGGCCAATCCCAGTCTTTGATCTGCGAAGATCGACGGCAGGGTTCGGCCACCACGTGTAATCGAAAACGTGGGGTCAAAAAGCCCCGGTTTCTGAAATTCAAACGCGGCCGATTTCGGCCGCAGATCTGGCAGATCGGCGGCCATAATCGGCCGCATTTGAAATTTTAAAAATTGGGGCAATCGGAGTCTCCTCTCTCCCCAGCGCCTGTAGCCCCTACGCCCAACCAACCTGCCCTGCGCTCGTCATCGGCATGCAGCGCGTTGACGTCGCGCTGATTCCAGCGGCGCGTCGACCTCCTGCTGCTCGCCATCGACGACGCCCAGTCCGCCACCGTCGAAGCCTCCCCGCGCCATTGCCATGCCCACCTGCGAGAAAACACCGACCCCCCATCGCTGTCAACCGCTGAGAGGTGAGCGCACTGACCATAGTAGTTTTTTTTTCTACGTTCTTCTTCTTCTTCTTCTCCTTTTTCTTCTTCTTCTTCGTCGTCTTCTTTTTTCTTGTTCCTTCTTTTTTCTTGTTCCTTTTTTTTTCTTGTTCTTGTTCTTTCTTCTTTTTCTACTTCTTCTTTGATCATCTTGGTTCTCGGAGGGAGAGAGAAAGAGAGAGAGAGACCGCCACCACGAACCTTTTGCAGCGCCGTTTCTTCTTCTTGCTCCTCCTCCTCTTCCTCTTCCTCTTCTTCCTCTGCTTCTTCTTCTTCTCGTGTCCGGGGGGACGCGTGAATGAGCGCATACATAAATAAAATAAGCTGCTTGTTTTGTTGTGGTGGCTGCGTTCTTCTTCTTCTTCTTCCTCTTCTTCTTCTTCTTCTTCTTCTTCTTCGTCTTCGTCTTCTTCTTCTTCTTCTTCTTCTTCACCTCTTTCTCCTTGGAATGCTCCTCATATTATTCATCATCTTTTCTTGTCCTACTCGTCTTCTTCTTCAAAAAGCGCAGTCGGATTCCAACATCGCCCCTTCAAAATTTTATAGCGGAAATTCCGACAGCCCCGAGATATTACCATCGAAGTTCGAACTGACCCCCCCAGGTAATTCAGAATTATTTGGTTTGTTTCATTAAGGGATGCGAACTCAGGTCTGTATTTCAACAGTTCCGCTGTATCAGTTGAGCTACGCTAGTAAGTTTTATACTTCTCAAATTTTTGTGCACGTCCACTCACAGCAGTCCAGATGATGCGCCACTCAGAAAATTTTATGCAACCTCCTTCCTCCTTCCCCCCTCAATCATCACCTGCCCCAACCTCCAACCCTTTCCCGGGATTCGGTCCCAGCTGTCCAACCCCCAAATCCCAACCCACCGAACTGACAACCCCGTCACACACCCAACCCCTCGTACCTTTCACATCCCACATCATGCCGAGCACAATCAGGATTTGAATGCAGCTTTTGGCACCCTCAGCGTTTGACACTCGAGCCCCAGTCTCAGAGTTGACAACCAGCACTCCCAAGTGTAACCGACCAGTTGACAAACTGCCCCTGAGGCTCGACTTTTTTGGCCTAAACAGTTACAGATCCGTGTTGGCTGTTGGCTGTAATGCAAGCATGCCTGCTTCACAAAGAAAAGGGGGCAAACACACTCCTCCTCTCCCCTCCGCCTCCTCTACCCACTCCTCCTCCTCTACCCACTCCTCCTCCCACACTCCTCCTCTCCCCTCCGCCTCCTCTACCCACTCCTCCTCCCTTCTCTCCTTCTCTTCCTTTACCTCCTCATCATTATCGTGAGGAGTTTTTGGTGTCGCTGTTGTTTGCGCTGCTGTCCTTGTTGTCACCATCGTCATCAATGTGCTGCCTGGACATTCAGCTTATCAGTTTCAGAGTAAACTATTCATTCATGTTTGTGTCTCTTCTGCAACTTCTTTGTTGACACCAATGATCATGCAACTTCTTTCGCTACACCAAAATCATAAGATAGATGATAGGGTGATGCACATCTCTACACGTTTATCGCAAATCTACAAAGATGATCATTCAACTTCTTTCGGTATACCAAAATCATAAGATGGATGATAGGGTGATGCACATCTCTACACGTTTATCACAGACTGATAAGTTCAAACTTCGACTCCAGACAGGAACCCTTCTAAGAATGAAGATGTGAAAGGCTGTACACCGTTTTCAAAGAAAGATCTAACGAAAAGAAGAACGGACAAAGGGATGGCCATTCCAGTCACAGCATGTGCGAGAAGTGGTGGAGTCTTTTCGGTTAACTACCTGCAAGCATTTCTGCTGTTGTCACGCGACGGCGCTCTCCACCACTGACTCCTCGAACAAACTCATTTCCTACAATCGTGTTTTGGGCTCTCATTAGGCCAAGGAGATGCAAGGTGACCTCCAATTTCAAGCCTCCTGAAGCAATCTCATCCTTATCAAACTGCAATGCCAAAGAGAAATTTCCACACAAAGGGAAAACACTCCAATACATAAGTCCGAAGTGCGGATAAGGATTAGGGCGAGGGAGAGGGACAAGTAGAGAGACGAGGAGGGAGAGGGAGAGAGAGAGAAAGAGGGGGGGGGGGGG